AGTAGTAGTAGTAGTAGTAGTAGTAGTAGTAGTAGTAGTAGTAGTAGTAGTAGCAGTAGTAAATTGCACTTATGTAGCGCGTTTCCACTAGTAAAGTGCTCAAAAGGGGTCCCTAACGCTGCTCATTGTGAGTTGAGAAAAGCAATGATAGCTTTCAAAGTAACTCGCAGTCCCTACATTACCCTAGAATTACGAAGCTCTCTCTGCTCAGAAGGCCAACCTAGTTTTGAGAAAATTGAGGGGGAATTTTTATTTTAAAAATTATTTTTAAATTGTTTTAAGTTTCACAACATTTCAAGCTTTTTTAAATACAATTCTTGGAATATCTTGATAACGATTCCGAATAATCCTACGATTTTGATAGAACAGATAGAACATTTAATTTGGTTTCTGACCTCATGGTCTTGGTAACTCAAAACGGCCACAAATGTCATAAAGAACTCAGGTGTCGACAAGACAACCTCAGTGAGTAGGTCAACTGTGGCCCACAAGGACAATCAATCGGTCTTCATTATACGCCAGTACTTGCCAACCCGGGAAGCATACAGTGCAACATGTGAATTTTATGCGCTCAAACTGACAAGATCTTTCACTTTCTCTAGTCAGGTACCCATTTGAGCCATTTCCACCTGGATGAAGTGCGGAAAATTCATGTTAAGTGCCTTTCCCAAGGACACAATGTCAGACCCCTAATGGGATTGGAACCCACGACCTTTCGGTTGCTAATCCGAGAGCCAAACCACAGGCCACCGATGACACGAAATAATGTGGAAATCATCCACAAGTGGACAATAGGAATCTAGGGGGCAGGGCTATAAACTTCACCGGACGATAGTGAAAGAACAATGTTCCAGAACAGACGCAAAAAGTCGCTACCTCCCTCAGGTTCCAACCACGAGCGTCCATTTGTTAGTCAAGCTCGAGACCAACTGTGCCATACTGGCCAGTCTAACTCGTGTTCGGCTGTTGTTTGAAAGTGTGTTTGTGTATGAGTGTGTGTGTGTGTGTGTGTGTG